TAAGCTCGAGGAATTCCTTCTCCAATCTCCTCCTCATATCTAGAGGACAATACTTCCCTAACAAACGAGTTTTGAACCTCTCCTTAGGATATATTCTCCTGGTCATACTCGTTGAGAGCTTCATATGTTGCTTCCCACCAGACCAATGCTTCTCCGATAAGCATTACAGAAGCATAGTTAGCTTTGTCTTGATTATCCACATGAGAGATACGAAACATTTTCTCTGTGTTCTGGATCCAAGTAAGAACAACAATGGGATTAAGAACACCAGAAAACTCTGTAGCACCACTACTCTTGAAATCTTTGAACGAGGGACGCTTCACCTCCCTTTTGAAGATTCTCCAGTGGCTTTCTCTTTTCCTTTATCACCATTCTTTTTGTGTTCTTCGAGAGTCTGTCGAATAACACCAGTAAGTTTACCCAAGAGTCGTTCCTCACGAAGAGATACTGGAGTATTCACTTCCTCAGGTTGAGGACCTCCACCAACCTCAGGGGTATGGCTACTAACCTGTTCACCCATTGCTCTACAATATGGAGTAACATTGTATTTTAGAATATATTAGGGTTTATCCTTACCTAATACTTTTACTTAAATATTTCCTATGGTTTGTATCCCTATACTTACAATGATTAAGTTCATATATTGAACTTCCAATAGTTTAAGTCTAAATACCAATACGTGGAATTTAGTTCACTTAAACCACTGCTCTGATACCATGATTGAAAGACCCACACTTTCATACTTGACAATTTTTACTCCGAAACATGCTACATGCATATTCATAAAAACAATATTTTATATTGATAAAGTGATTACAAACTACTGGATACAAACCAACTATTTCAAAGTGTTATATATATTACATAACTTCCTAGGATTCTATAGATTTATACATATGGGAGTGCAAAATACAATAGTTTCAAACTATTCGAAAATCTTCTTCAATACAATAGTTTCAAACTATTCAAAAATCTTCTATCAGTATACAACTATACTGGAAGCTTATCTCCTGCAAATTAGTTAAACATTGAGAGGGGTAAGCAGTGACGCTTAGTGAGTTCAATAATAGATACAATATAACGTTATGCCATATATATACTTCAATATGGCAGAAGCAAAGAGGAACAAGGAACAACAAAGGCATAATGTGAAAAGATTTCCATATCAATCAGTGAGACATAACAATTTCCATACTTGATATACAATCAATAAAGTTTCAGCACAAGTGGCACAGAAAATACTCAGGAATATCATTTTGCTAGAATATTCAGGCTTTCAACCTTATCTTAGCATACTGCCGAAGCCAAAGTGATGACTATGCCATACACTTCATGGTCAACGGTACATACCAATACCCAAGTGATGCCTATGTCATACACTTCGTGGTCAGAGGTATAACCTTGCTATAAAAATAGCAGAAATAATAACACGAGATGATAACATGGAAAAGCACATAGCATATATAACACATAACATACAATTGTTCCTATATATTAAACTCACCGTGAAATAACCGGGGGTTAAAATAGTAATTTGGGCAGCACTTCGGCTCTAAATATGACTTCCTTCGTTGAAAACCGGGAGTTTTCTTGAAAACCGGGCCCTGCGAGGGTTGGGCTTCGAAACCGAAAAGATAAATTTTTCGGGCTTCTCGGGAATTTTGGGGCGTGTTTCGGGCGTTGGAATTAATACCGGGGCTTCGGGGGAAGTGGAAGTAGAAGAAATATAAGTTTAGGGGTGAAATTTGCCAATTTTCTAACATTTACCCGGGAGGTCTCGCACCCCTTATATAGGTGCGAGCCTTGGATCCGAAGCGAGGGGAGAGGGTTGGTGGCTGCGAGGTTCGGAACAGGTGGCAGCTTGGGCGAGGCTCGGATGCGAGAAGGCTGCGTGCCGGCTTCGGATTGGTCCAGCACTTCGGACACGGGGCAGTCAGTAGCGATGCGCGTCAGAAGATCATTGGACCACACCCTCGGTCGAATCAGCATGCGACACGCGAGTCGGGCACGAGGTAAGCATGCGAGGATCACGTGACCAGCTCCAATCCATGCAAATTTTTTCGAAAATTGCACCCAATCCTTCTAAAATTCATAACTTTCACATACGGGCTCCATTTTTGACGTTCTTTATATGCACGTGTAGGGAAAATTATGCTCTACGATTTTCGTTTAGACTTCGTCGGCTAATTTTGACTTTATTTTTAATATTATTATTTTTAACAGACCGGGACAGAAAAATCCGTTAAAAATTCATAACTTCTTCATCCGACGTCCGTTTTCGTCAGACTTTTTACCGTTGTACTACTATTGACGAGACCTTCGATTCTCGTTTAGGTTGTGTCGGCTAAAAATCACTCGATCTAAAATTCGAGTTTTTAGCTGTCTACTGTTAAGCTGAAACTTAGAAAAATCATAACTTCCTCATACGAAGTCAGATTTTGGCATTCTTTTTATCAAAATTCTCGGTTTAACGAATACTACGACTTTCATTTAGATCACTAAGGCTAAAAAGTAGTTTATCAAAAACTCACTTTTTACGTCATTCGGCACCGTGCTGGTTTTGTCGCGGATCTTCGATTGGTCATAACTTCTTCGTTATAACTCGGATTTCGATGAGGTTTTCGCCTAAATGTTTCTAACGAGATTATCTACAACTTTCAATAATAAAATTTTACTTATTTCAAATTTTATATTTTCGTTAAATTTCGATATTTTAACTTTTAATTGGAATCTCATAAGACTTCCAATATTTTCCGAGTGATTCTATACATAGTTTTACCTTATTTCTAGTAAAAACTATCTGTTAGAACTCAATACTCAATATCACATAATATTTCATAATATTATTTACTTAAAACACGATTTCAAAACGTGTATGTTACATGGCCGGATTCCAATTGTCAAATTTGATGGGATCCTCCGGTGGTGGTCACCGGAAATACACCAAATCAGGAAAAAAAAACTGAAAAACCAACTGAATACTTACATGATGTGGCAGTGAAGGAGAGAAGTTGGACAAAGGTGGACTCGTCGGTGGGGAAGGCTAAAGATTGTGGAAGGCGGACGGTGGTGCAACAAAACCGATGAACAACTATAAACACAAAAAAAAACCCAAATTAGGGGTAAAAACCTTGACCACATAGCAATAAAGAAAGAAATCTGAGTACAAAAGATGTTACCTGGTGCTAATCGTCGGTTTGGAAGCTTTAATTTGATTTCCGTCGGTGGGAAAGGCTGAAGAGGGTATAACTTTTGCGTCGCTGCGTGCAAATGAAAGACAGACTGCGGTCTGTTTGGGTAAACCCCTATGTCGACGACATGTCGTCGGTATAGGGTCTTGATAAACGATGCCGTTTCGTTTTTTGCTGAAACAAAAAAAAAAATTAAAAATGAAAATTTTGTGTCGACGACCAGTTGTCGGTATAGGGTTTTCACGCGGATCGCCACATGGCCTGCCGACGACATGTCATCGGTATAGATTCCGTAAAACTACGTCGTTCTGATATACTGGACCATGGAATATAAATAATTGGAAAATAGATTTCTCGATGCCTATACCGACGACGTGTCATCGGCATAGTTTTTCAGTATACCGCAAAGAATTTGGTCGTTCCCGCCAGACTTGTAGCGACGACATGTCGTCGGCACAGATATCCGTGTCAAAGGATTTTGGTCAAAGTTGGCAAAACGTGTGGCGACGACTTGTCGTCGGCAAAGGTGGACTTGTAGCGACGACTTGAGTCGTCGGGATAGGTGTCGTCGCTATAGATCAGTATTCTTGTAGTGCTTACGAAGGTCTAGAAGGTAGATGAAAGCTGAGATCTCCAATTGTCAAGCTTTAAGGATCAATCTTGTATGAAAACATTGCTCCAAAACCACCAAAAATTCTAAAAATTAGATGACAGAGGAGAGGGGAGGGTCAAATCTTGAAAATGGAGGCTAGGGTTTCTCGCAAGAGGTTCTAGATATGATGGAGGCTAAGAAAATACCCTAAAACATGAATCCTTACCTTTAAATACCTTGAAAACCATAAAATTTTCATGGTGTTTGGGATGCACACTTCTCATGTCATGAGAATATATTCTCACTTTGTGAGCACTTCTCACACCGTGAGAATTACTTCTCACCTCGTGAGAGCGGGTTTTCACCCAATTTCACTCTAACTTCAAACAGTCATAACTTATTCGTTTCAACTCTGTTTTCGGCTATCTTTATATCCACAGAAATGTATTGACGAGCCTCATATTTATATCTAGTTAATTTTAGCTTAACACATGTTGAACTAAAAACCATAATTTATGAAAGAAATCTAAAACATCATTTTTCTCATTTTACCCTTTGACTCCAGGACACAAATCGAGGTTCTAATCACTTATCGAACATTGTCATCATCCAATAAGGTCTAAACCACATTCCCTTGAAGCCTAATACCTTTACTTAATCCATTCATTGTCCACAATCCCGAAAATAAGAAACTTCTCGAAACAGGATATTACAAAAAAAGTATCCTGAAATATTAAGAATACGTTGCTAATCTAATGACCAATTAAAAAAAATGGTTGGCACAAAATACAGATTACATATATTTTGATCAATCTTTAAAGGATGTTTGGGATTTCATTTTGATCATCAAAATGACTTTTAGACAAAAGGAATTATTGACTTATGGTGATAGAAAAATGAGTTTTTTTAAAAGAAATTTGTATTAGTTTTTGTGGTGGGAAAAAAATCAATAAGTCAACAACCTGTGAGTTTAATTAATATCAAAGATAACAATGCCAACAGACAATAGAGGATCAATCATGAAAACAATATACATGAAACGACATAAATAATGATATCAAAGATAACAATGCCAACAGACAATAGAGGATCAATCATGAAAACAATATACATAAAACGACATAAATAATGATACTGATGATTATCAATGCAGTGAATAATATCTTATATTGAAGATAATATCCAGTGGGATAGTGTAGAAGCCACACAAGACTGAAATGATGGCCCTCGTTAGTATGTCTCCATGCACACCTGAGTATGACCGGAAAGCTGAGCTCACAGCTTTTGACGAAACCAAAACAGGTGTCAAAGGACTTGTAGACGCCGGAATAACGGAGGTCCCTCGGATGTTCCACCTACCCTCACCTGAAAATCTAAACTCCAATCAACACTCACACTCAGAGCTTAGTCTTCCGACCATCGATCTGGAAGGAATCAACGAAGATCCGATCCGGAGAAAGGAGGTGATCGAGAAAGTGAAGGATGCATTCGAGACATGGGGTTTCTTCCAGATTGTGAATCATGGAATTCCTGATAGCATGTTGGAGGAGATGAAAAAAGGTGTTTTAGGGTTTTTTGAGCAGGATAGTGAGGTGAAGAAACAGTGGTACACTAGGGATCGCAGCGGGAAACATAAGTTTGTGCACCACAGCAACTTTGACTTGTACACTGCAGCGGTGACTAACTGGCGAGACTCTTTCTTTTGCACCATGGCTCCTGATACTCCTCAACCAGCCGAGTTGCCACCGCCTTGCAGGTATATATGCTTTTCAATCTATTTCAGTGAAAAAGATGGTGTCGTGAAACTAATGAGTGGTGGGTAATGGATCACAATCAACATTTGGATAAGGGAGCATGTTTTTTGATTGTCAAATCTTTTTGGTTTAGTCATCACCAACTTATTAAAAGCTCTTGCTAAGTTATAAATTAGTAAGTTAAAAAAAAATAGTTATCATTTTAAATAAGTACTTTCAATTTTCAAACACCCCTAAAACCATAAAAATATAATTTTTATTTTAAAGTTAATAATAATTGAAAATTAAAAATATAAGGTATAATTAAAAAACCAAAGAGAAGTTTCATTAATTTATGAAAATAAAAATATTATATTTCCCTTATATTCGTCACGAATTTCTTTTTTCGCTAGGTCCTCACCGTCGAGATTGTCAGCTGACATCTTCAACATCTTAATGTCGCTTATGATTTGTTGTTCACATTGTGAAACAACCCAATGCCGTTTTAAATACCTTTCACAAAATATTGTCAAAATAAGTTTTAGAAAAAACATCATAAATGGTCCCTGTGGTTTCTTCAAATCTGAAGTTTAGTCCTTGTGGTTTAGAAACGTCATAGCTGGTCCCTGTGCTTTCAAAACTTTTGACGATTGGTCCTTATTGTTAACTCCGTTAAGTTTTGTCCGTTAACTGAAGGGTATTTTCGTCATTTCACTACCACAGGGACCATTTATGATGTTTTCTTTTATTTTTTTAAGAAAATAAAATAATATATAGGGGTGTTCGTTTGGATGGACCGGTTTGATCCGATCCAATCAAGCGAATTCAAATTGATTTCAGTTTTCAAAACATGGATCCGAATAGTCTAAACTAAATTCAAATCTGATCTGATCCAATCCAATTACAATTCGGTTGGATCGGTTTTTATAATTCGGTTTTAAAAAACCGAAATGTTTTAAAACGACATATAATTATAATATTACCCAATTTTACACGAGAAGCAAAAAATAATTATATAGCTGTGATTTGAAATTTATAAACAACTACTAAGAAGATGGATCTGAATAGTCCAAACTAAATTCAAATCTGATCCGATCCGATCCAATTACAATTCGGTTGGATCGGTTTTTATAATTCGGTTTTAAAAAACCGAAACGTTTTAAAACGGCATATAATTATAATATTACCCAATTTTACATGAGAAGCGAAAAATAATTATATAGCTGTGATTTGAAATTCATAAACAACTACTAAGAAGATATATTATAGTTAAATATTTTATAAATAGAAAAACTTTTGACAGATAATACATATTGATGGTTTTTTATCGGGTGAAACGTTTTGAACCTATATTAAAAAGTAAATTACAAAATTAATATATAGCTATAGATATATATTATAAATAAATAAATAAATAATGTTTATTTGGTTTTTTTGGACTATTCGGTTCTTATTTTATAAACAAAAACCAATCCGAAATCCAAAATAATAATTCGGTTTTGTTGAAAACCAATCCAAAAATCCGAATATCCGAACCAAATTGTCCAATCCAAATTGTCCAATTGGACAATTCGGTTTTATCCAAATAGTGAACAACCCTAATAATATACAAAGAGGGTCCCCCTCTCTCTCTCTCGTATGAACACCACCATAATCCCTAAAATATTAAACATGTTTTGAATTTTGGGTTCTTGAATCGATGTATAGGAAAGGAAGGAAGAAACTTCGTGGTTACTTATAAGGAGGTGGGGATTGAGTTAATTAGTACAAAAAATGGGGAAAGGAATCGTCGTCTTCATCAGGTCGATGAAGAAACAAACGAACAGAAGGAAAAATCGGGAATCTCCGGTGAGGCTGATAGATCACGAGAAAGGGCAGGCGTCGACCTCCGATGACCCTCGGGGGTTCAATCTCCGTCTGATTAGGAGGGAGAAGTACGAACGAAATCAGCAAATGAGGTGGTCTGGTGGGGTTTAACAGATCGCGAGGAGGGAATAGCTGATCCCCGACGAGCCTTCATCTTCGCCCTGGTCATCGTCTTCATCTGATCGGAATGGAAATCGAACGGAGTGGTCAAAAGTGGTGGTCCGACGACTGAAATCGATGAAGAAAAAGATGGGTTGTTGGATTTTCCGACAGCCCTTCTCTTGTCTGTTCGTTTCCGGCTAACGCGAGGAACAAACCAAAAAGTTAATTATCTTAATAAGTCATATTCCCTTTCGCTTATCACATTGTGCTTCGTCATGTAGACGCCTTTAGTGTTTTGGGGGGACTTTACACTTTTTAGTATCAAGGTCCATAAACAAACTCACCGACGACCCATTCTCATATTTATCCCCAAAGTCTTCATGACCATCTTCGTCTAATCCATCATAAGATCCATATCATATATATTAACTTTTTCCGAATGAACTTCCTCTTCACTAATTGTAGGAGGAAACTAGAACTCTATAGTACAAACTATTTATACTAACTGTGACCAACTTACAGTTGAGATCATTATATAATATAATGTGTTAATGCAAACCCGTCCACAACATATATTTTCATCTTTGGTCATAATCTATGAACATCACTTTCCCTCATTTAGCCCCATATTTTATTTAACACATTTGAACTCCAAGACAATAAAGGAAGCCCATCAATTCCAACCAAACCCAAATACCAACAATATACATAATCTCCAAATCAATGAAGCCTTCATTATTTCATAATTGATACAAGTTTTCAACTGAAAGAACTTCACAAATGTTACCAAGTGCCACACAAGAAGAATCTTATACAAAAAGAGATCGATAATATGAACAAGATTAATTTATCTTTTTATTCTCCATGTGGAACAAGTTTGTGATTCACGACTCCCCTTACCCAACACAACATTCACATAAGACATTGTACGTCGACGCAACATATTTCACGACCCCAGTTCACATAAGGGTTAAAACCCTCACTGTTGATGGTATTGCCTTTTCATTGCGATTAAAACGATTGACCTGTGCAAAAATATTACAAACGTCCACTATATAATCTATTATAAACGTCCACTATATAATCTTCCTTTGCTTAGCACACATTTTCTCCTTGTTCTACCGATCTTGAGACTCGATGAAATTTTTTGATTTTTTTTTTTAATATAGAACGTGGAAGATGCCTTCTCCAAAGATTTCTCCCTAGGGTTTCTTGAACCCTCATTACATCCACTACACTCTTTGCACTCGTCTACCTTTCTATTCACACACCGCCATTCCCATCCCTCATGCAGATTACTTCTGGTTCGGGTAGCCATGATCAAAAAACCCTCAGAACAAAAAAAAAAAAAACGCAACAACCACAAGAAACCTTCCTAATCTCCTTCCATAATACAGTTTTAAGATTAAAGACGAAGTAGAATCATGCCGATTGCTTGCGATTGTGCATTATGATATACCTTTAATTATGACATTTCCAATTTTAAAATAAACTACTAATGGATTTTAATTATAAGCGGCACATTAGTTTTCAACAATCTTGCAAATTAACATCAAAATTCGAAAGTACTGGATTTTATTTCATTGTTTACTAACTAATATATTAACCATCAAATATAAATAATCTGATATTCTAAAATACTTGTAGTCTAATTGTTAATTTCGGCAAAGCTTGTCCTAGTATTATACACGTAACTATTTTAACATGGCGTGATTATACGTAAACCGATACTGAAAGGGTTACAGATAATTCAAATTCAGATTCTAAGTTTCTAACTATCCATATTTTTGTTACCTTGGGATTTATCTGTAGAGATATTTTATTGGAGTACTCAAGACAAGTGATTAGACTCGGAAGTTGTCTATTGACGTTGATGTCAGAGGCTCTAGGGCTCGACCCAAATCATCTTTTAGACATGGGATGTGGCGATGGGCTTGCTGTCCTCGGTCATTACTATCCTCCTTGCCCACAACCAGAGTTAACCATAGGCACCCCGGACCACACTGATAACGATTTCATCACCATTCTTCTACAAGATCATGTTGGTGGCTTTAAGATCTTGTATCAAAACCAATGGACCGATGTTCATCCTACACAAGGAGCTCTTGTAGTGAATGCTGGAGATCTTTTACAGGCATGTATTTCTCTCTATCTCAAGCTTAATATCAATTAATCTTTTTCATATGAAGTGTTGATCTTTTTATGAAAAAAATTACTCATTAAATATTAATATTACATACCAAAGAACTTATGGCCAAACGGTATAAGGAATTAACAAAAAAGATGCCATCAACCAAAGGTTGAGGGTTCCTGATGAAAGGTGTAGAGTATGTGTGAGTTGGCGACTCTAAAAAGTTATAATAATATTACATATGCACATCCGCTAGTTGCATACCCTAGTTTTTTTTTTTTTTTTTTTTTAATCTGGCACTGATTACAATCAATGGAATAATTTAGCTAGTTACAAATGACAAGTTTGTGAGTTCACGACACAAGGTGGTGGCAAACAAGGTTGGTCCAAGAGTATCAGTGGCATCGTTCTTTATGACTGAGACCTTGCAAGTTATTGAGCCAATCAAGGATTTACTTTCTAAAGATAATCCAGCCAAGTATAGAGGCACAACAGCGAAAGAATATGTTGATTACTACAGAGCAAAAGGAATTGATGGCACTTCTGCTCTTTTGCATTTCAAGATCTAGATCAATTAAACATCGATTGCTGATTTCGCGCTACATGATGAATCTTTCATTTTCTTGTTCGTCTCATGTCATGTAATGTAATCTATCTCAAAGATATTTTCTTTGTTTTTGTGTGATATTTCGCAAAACTGTGGTGTTGTTATATTATTTGTAATGGGCAGACAATTTACAAATGCAAGCTTAAATATTGAACACTTCAACCGATTAGCAAGTTCAAGTAGGCTCGAAAAGTATTTTGTAAGAATAACTAAATGTAATCAAGGTAAAAACATGGGAAGAGAAGAACAAAAAACGGATATCTGCAACTTTGCTTGATGTTCAAGCTTTATTAATAACTGAAGGGGAAATTCCTAACATATGTGCCTATTTATACTATAGTTTAAAAGACTCCTTATACTTAATAATTTGAAATTTGAAACCTAATTGGACTCTAAAACATGTAGGAATAAAACTTAAAAGACTAATAAAAAAAGGAAACTTTCCTACTGCTAAAAGTCGATTTAACCAACAATCACCTCCTTAATCAGTTTGGTCATACCACTCGTTCACAGTAGTGTTTAATCACGTTCTTGATACGTCATTGAACTCCTTCTTTAACCATCGACACCGTGTTCTCTCTTTTGACAACCTCGACCACTTTAATCAAGCTTGTTCCGATAGCACTTTTCCACCGAACAACAAGACAAGGTCACAACCACCTTTATCGTCTTTCATCACCCGTAAAACGAACTGAATCAAAGCCACACGCTTTGACGTCTTCCCGTCCATTTATTCCGCGCCTCCGGTTATTCTCTCGCTACCTTAGAACAAGCCCAATCAAGAGAAATCAGGGCTGCCTGCGATCAAAACCGAATCACACCCCCTTCAATGTAACCCGATTCCCATTGCGTATGCCCTTCAACGAAAGATTATACTTTTCTTGAAACCGACTCCCAAACTGACCATCTTCAACCTTTGCTCCGAGACCAAGTGTAAGAATAAGTAAATGTAATCAAGGTAAAAACAAGGGAAGAGAAGAGCAAAAAACGGATATCTACAACTTTGCTTGATGTTCAAGCTTTATTAATAACGGAAGGGGAAATTCCTAACATATGTGCCTATTTATACTATAGTTTAAAAGACTCCTTATACTAATAATTTGAAACCTAATTGGACTCTAAAACATGCAGGAATAAAACTTAAAAGACTAATAAAAAAGGAAACTTTCCTACCGCTAAAAACCGATTGACCCAACATATTTACCAACCTTTAATGAAAACTTGAACTTATACATGACTTATGTGTACGGGGCGACACTTGGCTGAATGAAATTTAAGGCCCCTAAATAAAACTATAGTTTGAAAATAGATGTTGAAGTGTTTTTTCTAATTTATATACACAAACAGAGAGAAAAATTAATCAATAAAATATAGATTGATGGTACTAGCCTGTATATTTTATAATATAAAAAATGTTAAGAGGTGTTTTATAATTTCCTCTGACATTTATAAATATAAACAATTGGCGACATTATCTTGCCTCGTCTCTTACGTCATAAACAATGTTTTCCGTTTTTAATCGTATAAGTATCCTTGGCATTTGGTTTGTGAATTATAAGCAGTGTAGTAAAAATCTGGACTAGGTTTCGATTAATTTTCAATTAGCTTTTAAGCACTACCCGACTGAGTAGAATGCACCTGACGATTAATCTTTGCCAACACATATAGGGAAGTAATAGCAAACTATGAAATATTAACATTTTGGAAAACATTTATCTCAATAGAAGCTATTTGTGTAATAATTAGTATTGCATCACTACAAGAAATCAACGCAATAGCGGTGACGTATGCTTTTAGCGTCGACATGTAAATTTCGCATTACCTGTCGCCGCTAAAAGCGTGTGTCGCAGCTAAAGGTAGAAAACCACGATCCGCGTCAAAGGAGATTGCTTAACACTATATGCCGATCTGGACCTAATCGAACGGCTGCCAACGAAGATTGCTAAAACTATTAGCGGCGACGTCAATAGCGGCGACAACGTCGCCGTTAATGCTAAAAAAACGCGGTACATTTTCCCTACAGAGAGTGTCGCTGTCGCTGGTAAAACCCTAGTGTCGCCGCTAAAGCCTCTATCCATCGCTAATAGTCGTTGCCGCTAAAGGTTAGCGCAGATATACCCCCTTCCTCCATCGCTTTCTGTATTCTATATTCTGTTTGTTTCCACCTCTCATCATGTGGCGACATCTTTTGCGGCGACTGTGAGCATAAGCTGCGACATATGGAACATTTGCATCGAGGCAACGACAACCTTTTAGCAGCGACAGGTCGCCGCAAATTGGCTTTAGTAGCAACATACCTGGCTTTTAGTGGCGACACCTGTTGCGGCTAATGCTCGCGTTTCTTGTAGTGTATTAATCATATTAACCTAATTTGTTATGATATTAATAGTATATACGAACTTTGTTATGATATTAGTCGTATTTAATTTTTTAAAATTCAGCGAATTATCAATTTAGGGTCCCCGATTAATCCTCATCTAGCCGATTAATTTATTTAACACAGTCCACCGACTAGGTAATGTTGAACATATTTTACAACTTAAATTGTAAATGGTTAGTTAAAGAAGGGACCTTATCCTTGCATTTTCTTTTTACAGTTTTGACCAAGATTTTCCCTTTTTTATCCTTTGCAACACCCATTTTCTTATTACAAATTTGAATCGCATTTCGAATTCCTTTGTGGATATTGTTTAGGACTCTTTTCACAATCTTTCACGGTTTCTTTGATAACTTTTTTCCCATTTTTTCTAGAACCTAGTTTCACATAATCTTTTTATTGAATCTTAATGGTTTTATATACACAGCTAGATTTAGTTTTTATTTTTTACAATCTTTGTATGTTTTCGTTTTTATGTAAGGTGTTTTTATTTTTTTATTTTAAGATTTTTTTGTTTTATAGATCAATTCGTTTTTACAAATATGCAAAATTTTGCTCTTTTTACATATTTATCTTCACAAACCAAAAGTAGATTTGTCATGTATAATTAATCTATAAAAGGGTGTTTGGGATTGCTTAATTAAATAAATTAAGGATGAATCAACTTATCAAAAAATGTTTATTTAAGTCTGTAAGTATATTTAAACTTTTACTCATCCAAACACTTCAAAATTTTGTTAGTGGGTGCAAACTGTAACTAATAAGCAATTCCAAACATTCATTAATTCGATTTTAAATTATATTTTGCTTATTATGCATATGTAACCGCAACAACAGGTGAACTATTATCACTGATTAATCGGCCACATCGACCCATGTTTTACAACACATATACATTACATACATATAAAACTATTAGCAAAAAAAAATTGTACATAATACACATCACCTACATAATTATACATATACATCACAAACATACTAATAAATACATACAAATACACAAACATTACATTCATACTAATAAAATTATTAGCAAAAAACAGGAAATTGATACATAATATATAATCGTATACAGTCATACAATTATACAATCATATGTACAGTCATAAGAATCGACTGTAATCTATTGTTATCTACCGTTTCATAAAGACCAAGAGTAAAAAAACATTTAGACAAGCTAAGAATTGACTGTAATCTAAAGTTTTTATCTTTAATCATTCAATAACCCCTTCTAATTTAGAAATTAAACCTATTGTGTACCAATGAGTTAATTGAAGACGCGTCTGATTGAGGGTCGATTAAGGGTCAATTGAGGAAGAAGCATCTGATTGAGGGCCAATTAAGGAAGAAACGTCTAATTGAGAGTCGCAATTGAGAGAGGAGTCTAATTGAGGGTCAACCGAGGAAGTAGGGGTGTAATCAAGTTGAGCCAATTCGTGAGATACTCAGGACCGACTCGGAAAATACTCGAAATCGACTTGGTTTGAGTCGAGTCGAGTCGAGCTCGAGCTACTCGAGCGAGTCAAGCTTGAGTATTGGAATACTCGGTTCGTGAAGCTCGCAAGCTTATTTGAGCTTAGTCATATTTACACTTTTACCTTTTATTTTTCGAGCCGAGTCGAGTCGAGGTCACGAGCTTAATCCTATTACTATTCCAAATTTTATGTAATTTTATTTTTTTTAATAACTAATCGAGTCGAGTCGAGCCGAGCTTGAAATATCAATCACTTTATCGAGCTCGAGCCTAAGTTTAAAAATAAGGCTCGAGTCGAGTTTAGAGCTCGAGTTTTTTAGTCAAGTCGAGTTTCGAGCTTGTCAGTACTCGACTCGATTACACCCCTAGGAGGAAAAAGCGTTTGATTGGGTGATTCGATATAGACAGGGTCGCAATGGCTCCGCTATATGCCTGCTAAATTGGCAAATAGCACCATAACACCGCTTCACTACGCAGCGTATTGTAGCGGTACTATTGACCGTGACACAGGTCTCCTTGTAGAGATGTCAATGGCATAGGCCCTTGTCGTTGGTTATATAACACTGTGGTTGGTTATATAACACTTTTACAGATGAAAGTAAATTAGTTAAATTCTTGAAAAAAAAACATTAAAAAAGGTTAACCGTGCAAAAGTAACAAGTCACGGTATAGGTCTACCATAGTGTATGTTCTAAGTTATTGCTTATGAACTTATTAGTTCATATTGCTATGAACGCTAAAAGCAAATGACAAAGTTTTTTTCAAAGTACATTTTACGTCTGGTCCTATGTTTAGTGATTCAATTATCGAATAAAAAACAAATTACTAAAATCTTACATGTTTGGTCCATAACTTTTGTTTTGCACTCGACCTTCCTGTGGGGTGGGAGTGGGTGTGTTTATATTGTAGAAAAATTTTGAAATTAGAAAAATATGAAAAACTATGGTTATTGGTTTTCCAAAAATTTCCAACTTCTTTGTAAATTTAGAAAAAAAAAATTCATGATTCACTTGAAAAATATGGAAAACGGCCCATTTTTTCGAAACTAACACAACATAATGTTTTTGTTGACTTTTTTAACTTTTTACCTAAATAAAACAAAATTGTAAATTTTAAACTAAATAACCTAATTGGCTAGTGTACATGATTCACTTGAATTGACATTGACCTAACTTTGTTCAATAATTGTTTTGTTAACAAATGTTTAACACTTGGTTGCTATTTAGTTATACAGTATGGCAATACTATTTAAATATCTTTAAATTTGTTTTCTATTTAATTATGACTTTTCTAAGTAATTTTATTATATTTTTATTAGGGAAATCTCCAGAAAAATCCTAAAATTTTAGTCTAATTTGTGAAAAAGTCTCAAACTAAATTTTGTTTACAGAAAAACACAGAATACCGATTAAAACTTCGAAAAAACCCTTTTCGGCCGGTTTCACAGATTTTGCCGGTATTTTGTCCTTTTTCGTTAGTATAACCAAAATTTTAGGACTTTTCCAAAAATTACATAATAACCAAAATATTGGGACTTTTTTGAAAATTACCATGAAATTAAAGGATATTATTATTAAAAAATCATTTATAAACGTAAAAAATATTTTTATTATAAAAAAAGGAAATACATTTGTTGCTAATTTCTAGGAATAAATTAGTGGTCTAAGTACTTCTCTATTGCTTCCTGACCACTCAAACTCTCTATGTTCTTCCTATGCATTGTTGTGGGTATGATGGTGAGATGTACTTAGTTAGCATTCCTCTAATGTTGGTGTTCCTCTTATGTTGTTTAACCTAACTACCAACCAACATTCACACCTTACATGTTAACAACCATCGGCTAACACACATCTATAAAATGTGAAAAATGAACCGTGAATGATAATTTATATGGAAACAAATGAAGGGTGATTATCTATTTAAATTGTCGTTCAAAGTTTACTTTTCAATCTCGATAGATGTGTGTAATTTTATGGTTGTTACCAGGTAATGTTTGGAGGTTAGGTGGTAGTTAGGTTAAAGAACATAATGAAAGATCTATATGTTCGTGTAATGATATTTTCTAATAACATGTGATCATATAGCATCATGTCTAATAGCAAGTAGACACTTATCGATTGTGTATTAATAAATATTATCAACTCTTGTATTGGTCACGCCTAACAGAGTACTTCTCACTATGACACCCACAACGATACATAGAAAGAACAAAGAGATTTTGAAGTGGTCAACAAACAATAGAGAAGTACATAGTCGACCATTCTATTCCTAAAAATTAGCAACTAATGTATTTCATTTGTTTATAATAAAAAATATTTTTTATGTTTATAAATGATTCGTTAATAATAATATCCATTAATTTCATAGTAATTTTCGAAAAAATCCCAATATTTTGGTTATCGGGTAATTTTCAGAAAAGTCCCAATATTTTGAGCAAACTAACGAAAAAAGACAGAATACCGGCTAAATCTACAAAAACCGGCCAAAAAGGGTTTTTTCGAAGTTTTAGCCGGTATTCTGTGCTTTTCTGTAAACAAAAATTAGTTCGAGACTTTTTCATAAATTAGACTAAAATTTTAGGACTTTTCTGGAGATTTCCCTTTTTATTATAATATTCAAAATTGAAAACTTAATTTTTTAGACCTGATTCAAAAAGAAGAGATAAACATAGGGACCAAACTACAATGTCCTAAATGGGTAGAATTTTCAAAGTAAAATGTACTAAATAAGCAAAATAAACAGGAGTAAAAATGTTATAATTGGGTAGATTTTTGCCTTAAGTCGAAATTATTTCGTTCATTAAGTTACACAATTTTATCTTTTAAGTTTTAACATCGATTCTTCAAGTTACCTGGAAATTTAGCTAACTGATGTGTCATACATCAAGAAAGGATTATTGAGAAATCATTGAATTATATTCTTGCTTATAAAAATAAAGCATCTATCAACAAGATTGCATTCTGTAATAGAACTGTATGTTGTGAAAAAAGTCAAAGAAACATCTCATGGCATCATAGGCAAGGGTAGCAAAAGTAGTGAAAAACTGAGAATGGACTTGATAATCATACACTAAAAGCATAAAGAAATCATCCAAAAAGAAACTAAAATTGCAGAAATTGAAGATTGAAAAGAAAGCATACCAAGCTACCGATGAATATTGAGCATTGCCTTAGCTTCAATCTGTTCTTCCAAAAGATTCTCACTTGCATACTTGCTCAACAAATCCTTCTTCTTCTTCTCCAACACCATCCTTTCAATCTCCTTCTCATCAGGCAATGGCACATGTACAACAAACTCTTTCTCTTTCTCTTTTTCTTCCAACTCCCTCTCCTTCATCCTCTCTTCCTCCACCACATCCTCCTCCTCTTCATACAGTATGGTCTTGGCTGCACCACCTACCTCCGCCACCTCTCCGCTCTTCACTGCCCTCCTTGCCTCCTTCTTAATCTCCTCCATTCTCATCCACTCTGCCACCGCCTCAGCCCTCATATTCTCCTCAGCCTCACCCTCCACTTTCTCCAAAATCCCATCTTCATCATCTCTGTACCCGTAGTAGCTTGCATCAATTCTTTTGTAGATATCGTACCTGCTTCTTCGCTTTCTCAACTCCGGTGGCTTCTCAAACAACTCCTTCACGCCAGGAAGCTTCTTCGCCGCCCCAAAGTATCTATACCCTGGTCCACGTCCGCTAGGGTTTGGAACATCGACTATATTTCCTTCCAGATCAGTCATTTTAGCTGAATATCTCGAGTAATTATGCCCCCCTAACTCAACAATTCGCCGTTCCCAGTGCACCTTTTCGCGAATTAGTTTGTTGATTTCATCGTTGAGATCACGAAGACGGTGTTCGCCCAACCCCTCGTTTTGGATTTCGGCGACTTTCCGGCCGATTTCACGCATGATTTGCTGACGCCACTTGTCGGCGTCGGCTAGGTCCCGGCATTCGGAGGCTAAGAAAGGTCGACGCTCTTTCGGCTTCTTTTTCTCGTCGGCTTTCATGGTTATGAACCTGTTGAGCATCGATTGAGCTTTCTCTTCATTACGAGCCATGGTGAAATCGAACTGAACAGAAACCCTAGCTTGATTGAGCTAATTTGAAGGCAACGACTCTCGTAGAGATTTGAATTGCACTGTGTTTTTGTGCGGTGATTGAAGAAGAACCTATGAGAGAGAACAGGGTTTCATATATGGGGTTTTCAATTCTTGAATAAAATACCCTGTACTATTGTTTATGGTATATATTTAGTCCTTTTACTTTTAAAATATGATTTGCTCGTAAACGAAGTTTTGGATAAAATATACTCCATTATTTAAAAATCTTAAAACTAGATTTAAATATAGATAAATATATATCATTAAAAAAACAAATCAGTGATTAATAATTATTTTAATAAAATTGTTATTTTTAAATATACTAGAAGCATAATTATTTTATATTAGATTAATAATTATTTCAAAGTAATAAAAAATGATTATTTTACATTAATTAATAAAATGATATTAAACATTATATATAATATTAAAAATCGATGTGGCTTATGCACAGTAATTGTTTTTGCCGGCTAATTTTTGAAGTTGTTGGCTTGCCTTTGGAGCTATCGAATTTTGGTGTTTTCTCTCTTACCATCCTGGAATATCTGTCATTCAGTGCCCTCTCCACAACACATATACTCAACGTTGAAGGCATATAGGTTTATTGTGAACCATCTGAAGTTATGTAGGCGAAATCCAATACTCACCCATTCAATGGTTTGAACAAATATTTATGAAATCTAGGTAAGTTCTCTTCATATAAATATGTCTTTTTTGGTAGATAGGAACCTTATTTCCACGACAAAAACACACACTAAATATAGGTTTCGGTGATGTTATTAAACTGAGTTACGATTTAGGGTTTTTGGTTTTGAATATAGAGATGATGTTGTAAGAAGGAACTAAATTGAAAATCTGAAAAGGTATTTGGTAAGCTTCCATTTCATGATGTAGTTGAAGGTGTGTTTATTTCCATGGGTTTTCTTCTCAAGATTTAATTCTGACGGTTTTATATGTTATATTAGGTTAGAAATTTAGAATGCGTTCAATACACCTGGTGCCAAGAAGGAGGGGTCGAACATTGCGTGAACCGTGGTGATGTTATTGCTCATCCGCACACAACCCCATCTTTCCAAAGGGTAAGATGCATTATATAATGCACCACTTTATTGCATTCATTCTGTTTATTTTATAAGTTTGGTATCTAATTTTAAGAATGACCATTAGTTTGATTTTGATTTTCATTACTATGTATCAAGTTAATACTTGTAGAAACCACGGTTGAAAAAGAAAAAACAGTATTGACAATTTTAAATCGTAATGACTAATCAAATATTTGCAAAAAAGAAAATTATCAATTTATAATGATAGAAGTTTTGTCCATAATTTTATAAATTGTTTCTGCATAATAATTGTAACCAAAGGATGGCAGACAAATTTACAAAAAGGTATTATACACTTGTGCATATTATATATTTTAAAATTCTATTAAACAAATAGAAACACTTTTCCATTCTGCTATTTGGATAATGAGCGTGATCATTTTTGTATCCATTGATCTGTATATGAAAATGTAAAAATAGTGATGAATAAACCATTCAATAAAAAGCTTGAAATAGCAAAAACCTTTAATACACTATTGATAAATCATTAAAACTCATTTACTACACAATTGATAAATTAAAAAAAAATTTGGTAGATGAATATTGAGTGTTCGATGTGGTTTGATATATACTTGGACTTTAATGTTATAACTAAAACAAATTAGAAAGTAAATTGTTATTACACACACATATATATATATATATATAGATATATATATATATATATATATATATATATATATATATATATATATATATATATATATATATATATATGTCACACCCCCAAACCAGACGGCGGAAACGTCCGGGGATAGAGGACTTCATTTGTAGTATCACAACACATGCATCATAGTAATCAAAGTATAAACAACCATTATATTTAAAAAGTATAAGTATTTACATGTGTTCAATCATTGTATATTGAAACCAAAATAGTTATACAAAAGAAGAAGATATGACTGAACATAGCTCCATCTTCTCAAAACCTCGGGGAGTACCTGTCTACTGATTCCCTGAGAATACAAGTAATTTGAAAAGAGAGTATCAACATAAAGTTGAGTGAGTGCATAAGTATTTATGTTTAAAAGTATGTTTTTGTATCTTGAATATGTAAACTGTTCCAGAAAATCCTATATTTTCTGCTGTATATGAAAAGTATTTTTTATTCTCATAAAATTGTTCTATTTGTAAACCAATGTTCTGTATTTGTATTCCTTTATGTAAAACTTGTAACTGTGAGTGTGTATTTTGTAAACTAGTACTTTTCACCAACTGTTATTGTAAACTGTAATGTACTACTGTAGTTTGTATTTTGTAAACTAGTACTTTGAAAATGTACTTACGTTTAGTTGATTTTACACTAACGTATTGTTAATATCTTTTTAATGAGTTATTATAACCATACTGAGACTAGATGGCCTGAAACAAACGTATTGTAGGCGTTTAAACTGTTGATAACAATTGTCACTCATTGGCGTGTATGTCTGACTGTAGCTAGCAGCCTGAGTGCGGGGTTGTCAATCCCAATATAAATCTACACACCACTTGTTTCGATCCCCTGACTGGAGATTCTGGTTATAATATCAGGACTTTAACTATATTGTTTAAATGAATTAAACAACCTGAATCAAATGACTCATACAAAACATATAAACGTTATATGTATAATAGTTATGAAAACCCAATCATCCTGAAATAATGATTGATTGTATATCCCTGAATTAGTATTCTTAGCATGTATTTGAAAGTTGTATACCCTTGATTTGTTTTGAATCAAACCTTTGTTTCTTGTAAAACGGTGTATTCTAGTATACTTGAATCATGAATTAATGTTCTATGTATCATAAATTATATCAATTATAATTTATATGTACTTTCTTAATTGGTATTAACTGTTTTTGAATGTAACCCTTTTCTCAACATGTTACAAAGGGTATTTAAACTGATGAAATAACTTTTATATTTATATACATATACAATTATATATAAGTAAAATTTAAACGACATTCGGGCAAATAACCGATACTATAAGCCTACATCCAAACAAGGAAAAGGACCCAGAATGAGTTATCAGTCCTAAGCCTTTTAAATCTTATATATATATATATATATATATATATATATATATATATATATATATATATATATATATATATATATATATATATATGATTTTTGGGGAAAATTATAAGTTTATAAAAGAGTTTAATATTTTGAAGTATTTTTGATGACTTAATGTCATTTTATCACAATTTGAAATCATTTGTTTGTAACACAAAATTCTTGTGTTAGACTTGTATCCCCCCCCCCCTCTTAAAACATTAAAAACTATGAAAATATGGGGGTATGAACTCACTCGACTGGAGAAGGTTGTTTTTCTCGAGAATCTCGGGGCTTCGAGGCTTGCTTAGGGTTTTAGATATGATATCGGGGCTTTTGGAGGTTGTAAGTAAGTTTGTGGGAGTGAAAGAGGTGAAAGAGTATGGAAAATGGTGTAAAAATGGGGTTAAAACCGGAGGGTCTCGCAGCTATATATAGGCCGAAGCCTCAGATCCGAAGGAAGGAGAAGGAGACGCGTGTCTCGGACAGGTGGCGAGGGGCCTTGCCAGAGAAGGTGCAGGCAGCAAACTTCACTTTGCTTCCTTCTGGGCATAAACAGATTTCGAAGATCGACTCTGTTTTCTCGAACCATTGCATAAGGGCAATGACTCCATCAGTCCCATTAAAGGACAATGGCTGGCAACTGGTGAAGTCCTTGTAGGAGAACTCTCTCGAGCGTACGAGGACCTCACCTCGAGTAGAATCAGTAGGCGTTCCACCTCCACTGGTACTGATGGAGTGATATTGAGTCATGGCTGTTGCCACAGCCGCAGCCAGTGCAACGTTTATAGCTGCCATATCGATTTTGTGAAGGAGGCTGTATTGGAGTTATCGGAGTAGTGCGTCTGATAGATCTGCGAGGAGGCATCTTTGCTAAAAGGAACACAAAGATGAGACGGAATAAGTCTAAAACAATGGACACAAGCCGAAAGCTGAAAAGACAAGGTTATCCTAGTTCTGGGTGTATCGGGTCCTGACTTCCACAGGGTTCTAGAAACAATTCATAAAAGAGTCTATACCTAATAAACTCTATGAATTTGAAATAACTATCCTCGAATGAATATCTGTTTCCTGAATAACTGTTACCAGTTGCATGTAAGAAAATAATCATAATATATAATGTGAGCAGTGTTTCCACTCGCTCAATAAATCAACCAGATTATTATTTATTAGTGTGACGTGTAAGACGTTTTGGTTACTTCGGTCGATCTCTCTTTGAAAACTTCTCATGAACTTGTTCTTGTTCCTCCTGGACTCTTCTGTTGTCTACTATGAGGAAGTGGTTACATCTATCTGGGCTTGTCGTGCGAGAATGAAAGTGATTAAAGAATCTATGAGCTTTAAGGTAACTTTATGGGGTGATCCTTACGGAGTCCTCCTATAATTGTACAAGGTACACAAGTTTGTATATAATTGGAGATTAAATAGACCTTCGAATAAGTGATTCTTCTCCAACACTACACCCTTAAGAGGAATGGATAACGAAGCGTAGGCCACAGATTCTAAGTCTATAAGATCTTAATTATATATAAAACTTTAGGAATATGCCTTGCAAGATTATAGACTTATCCGTAAAGGTCTTTTTAGGTTATCACTTAAGTTATTTATATGGACTAAAATACTCCTATAGTATTCTAACTCTGGATGTACTTGTTCTGGTGTTCAGGTAAGTTTTAACACTGTTGCAACACTACATCATTCCCAAACACATGTCGGTCACATCTCGAATGAATATAGTTGATCAGGCTATATTGATCCTAGCTATGATTACATAACTGTTCAGGTTGACGACAGTGCCCAACCTTTAAATAC